TCCTTACAATTTTCTTTTTTCCTTTTACATTTTTTCAAATTTCCCATAAATTTAGATATATTTTTTATCAATAAATGATGGAAATGACCAAGCGTGGGCGATTCTATCCATTTTCTGAACCTTGGGTGGATAACAAACTGATAAAAATTTGTTGACACTAATTTCCCCCATAAAATAAATCCCGAGTTCCTTTTGCCTATTTTTGGTGCTCCAGGAACTGGAAAGCGAAATGTATATCGCCCTTAGCAAAAATCCTCGCTGAGAGTATTTTGAGGACCTCAAATTATCGACGTGCGACCTACCGTAAAAAGAGAAAGAAATGGATGGGCATCACGATTAGCTCAAAAGAACTCACACCTATGAGTGCCCCAAAGGCCCTCAAATTTTTGGAAGAAAAAATCAAATATTTATACACTCATAGTGATTCTAATAAGGACGTCATAATTTCATATCCAAAAAATCCTTTAAAGTCCATTTCGAGACAAAAAGGATTTTTAGATCCAACATGTGAGCACAATGTAAGCCCTTCTCACTAAAAAGGAATATACGAGAGCATAATATACATCTATTCTACTATACTAGGTAAAACATAAATAATTTTAAGACCTCATAATTTTTGGGTTTAAATTAAGCAGAATAGCATATCATAATTCGTGTTGTTGGCCTCAATGAGCTGGAAACAACTTTGATGACGATGATGATGAAACCTCCTCAAATTAGAGTCAACCCAAAATGTCCTTTTCTGTAAAGAAAATTAAGAAATTTATAAAAAACAATATCTGATTTCATTGGAGAATAGTGTATATCCGTTTCCTCTAGCAATCCCTAGCTAGGAACATTTGGGGACCTGAATTCTCAACCTAACCATCAAACGGAGCATCTTAGCTATGACAAAAGAAGTCATGCTCTAGGATTAGTCACACGCCATCCGATTTTGGGATAGTCTGACATTGATATTTAGGTAAGTAGTTTATTATTATTATTATTATTTAACTAGGCTCATTAGTGCTCCCACAATAGGTGCCAAATCTTTAAATTAATAAAATTCTTCTAAGTAATTCAGAAAATCTTTAAAAATTATATGTCTCATACCGTAAATAGGTCCTTTACTTCCATGAGATCGTACTATACAGGCTTGAAAATTTCAAATCATCATCATCATCATCAAAGTTTTTTCCCAACTAATTGGGGTAGGCTACACGAATTTTAGTCTACTGTTTTGATTTATTAAGGGTCATACCCTCATTAATGTTATAAGTCTTCCAACCATGCCCTTGAGGGCCTATTCCTTGTCATTTTTGAACCTTTCATAGAAACATCCTAACATGTGCCGTATTGGGTTTGCGCCATACAAGACTAGCCCACGTAAGTTTACTTTATCTCATTATCACCTATTAGTGCCGCACCTAAATTCTCCATAATGTATTCATTTTGAATTCCATCATTTCTTAACTTGCCACTCATCCATCTCAACATCATCTTCTCAGCTATGCTCATTCTATGGGTACATTGCTTTTTGATCGCTCAACATTTCCATCCAATTGCATATATCATCACAAGGATATATTTTTGTAATTTGGTTTTCTTAATGCAAACCCATCACATGTACCATCATTCATCCTAAGTTTGGTTTGTATAAAAAAATTTATATGAAATGATTTTCATAAAAGTAGCTCCTTGTGTCTAGAGGGGCCGTTTGGGTATCTGAAAATCTATTACATGGAAATATATTACAAGGAAATATGAGATTTACCATGTTTCGGTACACTTCACCACTAAGAAATGAAAATAAATTACACAAGATTTCTCCAAAATATGTGAAATCTATTACGCGCATGACGATTGTGAAATCCATTACGCGTAGGATGGCTGTGAAATCCATTACACGCAGGATGGTTGTGAAATCCATTACGCGCTTAATGGGTAATCTAACTAAGTAAAAAAAAATAAAATCTGTGCATATCTATTCTCCGGCCATTATATCTCTCTCCCCCACAATCCATTTCTATTGTCTCTCTAAGCTCCCTGCACACATCCATTTCTACACTCTCTTGCTTACATCCATTTCTATATCCCTTTATCTCCAATTTAGGTTGTAGCCCTTATCTGAAGCTATCAACTCTTATATTACTATGTCCTTACTCTTCAAGCCCTTGAAGCAATTTTACGTATGTTCTGTGTTGTTTTTAATTTTTCTCATCAATCTAAAGGGATTTGGATTGATTGGTTGTTGTAGAAGATTTTTGAGATCTCCTCATTGAAGATTGGACCTCAATATCAATCTGAGATACTCCTTCTTCTGATCCTTTGTTTCCAAAACCATTTCCATAGGATTGGAACTTGCCTGCTTTTCGTTCTCGGTTTTGATGTCTTTGAGCTTATTTTGAATCTCATTTATGTAGGCTATGGCATCCCCCATAAGAGAGACTTTGTCCACTTTGGTGATATTGGGAACCACTGCCCTCAAGAGCATAAAACCTCTGGTTAACTTTCTCTCTCCTCTGTCTCTCTGCCTTAACATGGTTGAGGGGTTCTTCTCTCTCATTAGTTGGTTTTCTCCCTCTCTTTTTTGGTTTTCTCTCACTAGACTGAATTAATTTACTCTCTTTAGAAGTTGCCTCTGTGACGTAGTGATCCCCATTAAAGCTAATTTGATTATGTTCCTTCTGCTATTGAATTTGAGGATAAATTATCTGTAAATAATAGATTTTTGGGTTTTTGGTTTCTTTTTTACAAGTTTTGGTTTCTTATCAGTTTGTTTTCTCTCTCTTATATGCCCTTGTTTCTCTGTGGTGCTCTGATTTTTCATCCTCTTTATGATGCTTTGATTTTTCATGTAGCATTTGTTTATCTGGTAAGGCCTTTAAGCTTTTTTTTATTTTTCATTTCCCATTTATTCATATAAGATCTCTGATTAGTTGTTGTAATGGACTTATTCATTGGTCTTTTCATCGGAATGTTAAAATCGGTAACAATCCATTTGCAGGCAAGTGCTAGTAAAATATTTGATAATGCATTTCCCATATTTCTTTCAGACATAGCCAAACAGTAGCAATATATTTTCTAGGTTGCATCTAAATACTACCTAAACAGTAACAATCCATTTACAGGTAATATATTATGCAGTAATGTATTACGCTAGTATTATATTTCATAGACAATATATTTCCAGATATCCAAACGACCTTGAAGTATTGAGTTTTTTCATACCAATTTACTTTGGAAAAGGTTATATAAGTGTGAGTCTCTAAACAATTAAATTAGTGCACACCTAAAAAATTTCATTAGAAGAGGTTGTTTTGATGCCCAAATATTCTCAAATTGATCATCTCGACCTCGAGATGCATGGACATGAGAAAAAAATGGATTTCAAATTTTGGAAATAGTGCATCTATTAATACATTTTGGGACCGTCAATTTTCAAGATTTTCAAGTTTTCGTAGATATTTTCGATTTACACTATTTTTCAAGCTTTCAATTTTATGTTAGAGATGAAAATATATTTTAATGCTATCACAAAGATTTTCAATATCCAAACCACATTTATCAATACTAATTGAATGATTGTTTAGAGCCTTTACAAGCAGCATCCATTTACTTTTACCATAAAATAAACAAATGGGTGGGAAAAAATACTGTACGGACTGACATGGGGAAGTACTTGTGAAATTTTTCATGTCAACATGAACTAAATTTTATTGATAAGGTGGCAATGGGTTGGCCGTGGGCTGGGCTTGCCCTGGCCATGACTCGGGCCCGGTCATTGTCTGCATGGGACAGGACTAGTCGTGGCCTTGGCTCTGGGAGGGCTGGCCAGGCCAAAAACAAATGAAAAAAAAAACAATAGAAAAAAGAAAAGCAAAACAGGCCCGGCTCAGGTCCATCCCTGGCTCTGTTTGGGCTAGGCCATGCCAAAAACAAGCGGGCCCAATCCAATTTGGGCCGGTAGTTGTTTTAGAGTGGCCCGGGGCCCTGCAGCCCTAAGTTATTGATTCATAGGGGAAGTCTTATGAGTATAACATGAGTGTATTGACGAGATGTTCGAGAGAAAAAGATTGCACCAAGGATTAACAATAAAGTACAAAGTAATTTGTAGGAGCTGCCGAGGCTAGCTGTGCTCGATCCCGTAGTGGACTAGAAAATGGCTGGAAGGATCGCAGCGAGAAACATATCTAGGGTTTTATGCCCTCGAACCAGGCACTTTTTCTCTACTTCCTTCACGCCATTAGATTCCTCTCGAAGTTACCTACCTGTTGATCCAATTTTCAAAGCATCTGGTAAGAGTTTCACTCTTCTGCTCTCTCCTCTGATCCTTTGTGTTAGATTTTCCACTCTTCAGATCCTTCTCTCTCTTCAATCTATCATTTGGTTTAATTGATGATTCCCCATTTGTGCAACTGTGTATCTGATTTAGCGTGATGTGTGGTTTGTGATGATTGGATTGTAATTATATTCGTCTTTGAATTTCTCGAGTTACATGTACATATATGAAATCCTAAAGTTTGTTAAGAGTAATCTGTGGAGGTGAGCATTTATAAGAGAGAGCGATCTCTCTCTGCGATGGTTGTACAGTTAGGACTTCTTTTTAGTGCCATGGCATAATTGTTGGTATTCTTATGTTCATATACTGGCTTTACTTCTGAATTTCTTGCCTGAAATCATAATGTATAAATTGTTCATTGATTCATGCGAATAAAGTCCTCAACCTATGGAGAACTATGTTATAATTATTTCGTCTATCTTTGTTTGGGTCATTCTGTCTCAATAAGTTGTTAGTTGTTTGGTATTCTTTTCCTTTGATCAGTAATTGGTTTTCACTTGTAATATGATCGAAAACTAACAAAAGACGGAAAAAAAAGAGAGAGGAAAAATACATAAATGCATAAATGGATGACATATAATGCGGACATTTGGAAATTTATGGTATGCCATATTTCATCTAGGTTTTCCAACTAATTAGGACTGAAAAATGATTAATATAAAGAAAAAGAAAAAAGATGAGAAGAAACTGATTTGAAGAATATGTTGTAGAATGATCAGGCTGAACACACCCATTGTAAGATTCTATATATTATTATTGTTGGCGTGGTTGTTGTTGTTGATTCCATTTATTGTTGTTGTTGTTGTTGTCTTCTTTGTTGTTTTTGTTGTTTGCTTTTTCCACAAGACCCTTTCTTTTCAAACTACAAGGTTCTCTTGTTGATGCTAACATTAGTATGAAAGCCACTTTTATAACCCCCAAAAGAAGACAACTTCTTCTGTTTCAGTCTCTCTCATATCTCTCTTCAGCTAGGTCACCACACTACTTGAACCTTCAATCTCTCTAAACAATTGAAGACCTTGGCTTTCGAATCAGAGACCATACTTACAGTTCACCACGACACCATCAGTAATTCGAATCAACCTAATATCTTCATCAGATGCCCTCAATGATTCTCAACACAAAAGTTTACTAACTAATTTCCCATGTGCCTCACCAATTCCATAACAGACCCCAAAACCATGGATGAACCTATTTCCCTCAGGCCTTATTCATTCTGACCATATTTTTCTCCAACAACTTCCATTTTTCCTCATTATTTTAATGTCACTCACCCAAGAGAGCCCTATTAGTGAATTGGATATTTCTATTGCTCAACCCACCCTGCCCTTATTTTTACAAACCTCTTTTACCATATCAAACCCATGACCTCACAATTGCTTTTCCATAGAAATCATGTTTTCTAAATTCAAGGGCATACATGCTAATATTTGGAATTACAGAATATCAGATTGGGATGTTTATATGAGTCGCTTTAATAAGAAAATTCATCTCAGCTAAGGGTGATTATTGTCATTTCCATGGCACAAACTTCCTCTGATAACCATTTTTTACTACAAACGTTTTTGTGACTTACCACAACAAAAGGGCAGGGTCAATTTGCTACAATCTAAGGAACCTACCGTTCATCCCATACGTACATACTTACATACATACATATATGTGTGTAATTCAAGTCTTCACCTGATTCACCAGGGAATATTTTGATTGCTTTTGGCAGAACACTTACTACTAGATTGGATCGGAGGTCAACCTGTGGAGGCCCCATTACTATTGGAACAAATTCCCTGTCTCTACTTTAGTTTGTTGTTTAGTGAGAGTTTTCGGTCTTAATCCAGATAGGTCGGTCAGGGGCACGTCGGATTGGTAGCTGCTTAGTCTCATCCGAGAGACCAATCTCTTTGTACTGCTCAGTCATATGTATATGTATGTAAGTATGTATGTGTGTATGTATATTCTTTTATATATTAAGAAATTTTGTTCTTAGATTCCTTATCTTTGGAATTGTACATGTTCCTTCCCTTCCCCATTTTATCTTCCTTTCTGGTTATAGTTCTAGATTTGCTCTGTCCCTTGCATATTTGTGCTGCACTTCTGTTGACATCTTAGGCATGCTTGTATTGGGTTCGATTTCTTAATGTTAGGAGATCTACTTGATGTTGTTACCGTACTTAGAATTTGAACCAGATATTCCTTTTCTTCTGAACTAGCCGTACCTAGATACTGTCATAACTCCTCAGCTCAGAATGCCTACAGGGTGCAGTTCCTCTCATATAGCTAATCTATTAACAATTAGGTTTCCCATGAAGGGCGATGTGCTGACAGGGAAACGTAGACTGCATGATGCTCTCATGCCCTATTTTATACATGCTGTGACATAATTTTGAAAGATTCGTCATGTTGCATTTCAAAGGCTCCTTAAGAAAGACTTCGACAGGCTTCCATGTACTAAAGCAAAAGGGAGAAGAAGCTTTATTGGGCTATTCGCCCGACCAAGAGATGTCACATCATGACATCTTAAGCCCCCAAGAGGCAGCTATTCTCATTCTTCATTACTTTATTGGCTTCCTTGATGGCGTCTTGGAGTAATGAATTGGAAGACTTCCACACCTAGCATGTAGCAATAATACCAAGATTTATTGAAAACTTGAAGATGGTGGTCACTTAAGCAGTCCTTGGGAACCTATCAGTTGCCAACTCTGACATTCATGAATCCCTGATCACAAAGAGAAGGAATCCAAGGGGAAATGCCATGTAGAACATCCCTGAATTCAAACTTATAGGCCTGAATCACCTCAACAAAATTTAAAAGCCTATAATCACTAGTGTTAATGGGCCTACGAGTCTTAAATATTTTTGTGTATAATCTTTCATTGATAGGGAGCACTACATATTCTACTTTTAATCTAAAGTACAATTTCTAAAAGATTAAGCAAATTGAGTCATTATAGTTTTCTCTTAGGGCATGTTTGGTGCGTGTGAAAATATTTTCATGAAAGTATTTTCACATGAAAGAATATAGATTAGGTGCGGAAGTTTTTTCACACTAATTGGTCCTAGTGCATTTTTCACACCAATTGGCAGCCAATTTGTGTGAAAAAATGCTCTCACCTAATCACATGGGGGAGTTCATTCATGTTAAAAAGCTTTCATGGAAGTATTTTCACCCATACCAAACGTGCCCATAGTGACTAGATTTAATTGTCATCTTGGTCTTGGGATCTAGATATGGGTCAACCTTGATTTCTTGTCACCGATATTATGGCTAACACAGGTTTGGCTTAAGTGCATATGTGAATGAGGTTCCCTACTTCCTTATATTTGCAACAGGATATTTTGGTTCATCCTGCACTTTGTATGCATATTTTTTGTTCATTTGCCCATTAATACGTGAATGCACTTTAGATATTTGCCCTCAATTTATATTCTGTACCACTCATTTAGCTTTTGCAATTTTTACTTCCCATCTGTTTATTGCACTTTGTTGCAGGTATGAGCAAGTTCCCTATTTTAATGAGAATTGGCAACAGACGCGCATTCAGTGCAGACGTGAGTCAGTTACCTGTAATAACTGACCCTGATATCTTACTCCCATTTAAGGATTTAATTGCCGCAAGTTGGGATGAGCTCCCCGATACTGTAGTTTATGATGCCAAGAAAGCACTATCAAAATCCACTGATGACAAGGCTGGTCAGGAAGCTTTGGCAAATGTTTTTAGGGCAGCGGATGCTGTTGAGCAGTTTGGTGGAGTCCTTGTATCTCTCAGAATGGAACTCGATGATGAAACTGGAATTACTGGCGAGGTACATTCCGTTCCTGATCATTTTTGGCATTTAGAGAAATGAATTCGGTTCCTGTGTTGCAAGAACTTGTGGTGAATCAGTCATTTATATTTTTATTATAATGTCATATTATTAAAATAAAAATGAAGAAATCGAGAAAACAACTTTCTTTTATTTTTAAGCAGGATCCAATATACTTGCATTGGCCCAGTTCAGACTGATCAATATGCCAACCCGATCTGCTTACATTTTCTGAGCTTAAAAGAGGGGATAAATGAGCCCAATTCCTTCAATTGAGCTGGACAGGCTGGTTGACCGTCATTTGAAATTTTGAACTACTAAAAAACATGATTAATTTATGGTGTTTGGTGTGTTTGGGCTGAGATGAAGAAGCTTGTTTTGGTTAAACTTAATTGATTCCATTGAAATTCGACTGGGTAGGTTGTTTTAAAAAACTTTCATTGACATGGTATTCTAAACAGGATTATTTACAAGGAAATTGATCAAAAAGATGAACTATTTAACATTTTGACCCATTTGTTATGATTCAATTTCAAAAAGCCCACCAAAGGACACGTAATCATGAGCTAGAACAGTTGATATTTTAGGTGTGTTTCGATAGATGGCTGAAATGTCATGTAGTTGATATTTTAGGTGTGGTTTGATAAAATTCCCTTATTTAAAATGTTTGTTTATATTGATTATTTTGAACCAATGCATGTTGATGGTCAAAGAAAATGATTGGAACCTGTCCAAACTGGGTGGCCAGAGAGTTCGTATTTGATATATCCCGAACCAGCTAAGTTTTGATCTTTTGTAAACAAGGTTTATTTGAACTCCATGGCTTTGTTTTACTTTTGTAGGCTGTGGGTCCCTTGTCAGATGAGCATCAAGATGCTATGCATGCAGCATATAAGCGGTACATGGCATACTTGGACTCTTTTGGGCCCGATGAGACATATCTGAGAAAGAAGGTTGAGACAGAGCTGGGGACAAAGATGATACATCTAAAGATGCGATGTGGTGGCCTTGATTCTGGATGGGGAAAGGTAAAATTTGTTTTGTCTTTGGGTGTCTATTTTGCTAGTGCTAGTAGGCCAACAAAGTTGAATGTTCAGCGCTCAACATTTCAGTATTATACTTCATCCTTGAATTTAGAGGAAATTATGACTTCTATGCTTATTTACATGATTTTGAAAGTAAAAATGGACTCTTTGGTTCAGTTAAACTGAAACGGAGGCCTGTTTTACTAGATCTTATAGTTGGTGCTGAATCATCCAATTTTACTGGAGCATTTTGGACCCTGTCCTTAGCCACCTATTCATTTTGAGTTTTGGTTTTGGTTTCTTTCTTTTAAATATTTTTCTTTTATATAGGGTAGAGGCCATGGGCAAGATTCAGACCTCTAACTCTCATGAAAACCCAAGTACAAAATCATCTCAGTAGCATTTCTATTTTTTATGGTATTGATGTTTCAGTTAATAAAAGCATCTACTTCCTTGTTAAGCGCATAATACTATTAACTTAGAGAACACCTTTTCTTTATGATATTGATCCTAAATGCTGAATTTTGGAAAATGCTACTATCATCGAACTCTGCTTGCTATCATTTTTATCCTCAAATGATGTGCTAGTTGTCTTATTTTGCAGATCACGGTTCTTGGGACCTCGGGACTTTCAGGTTCCTATGTTGAACAAAGGGCTTAACTGTGTGGCCATACATTCAATGGTGGGCATGCTTTTTTACTTAAGAACATATCCTGTGCACATCCATAAATTGCTGTATAATGCTTGGTTAAGAAGGTTGACTCATGTTTGTGGAACACTACTTCAATCTAAGTGAAATGCTGAGAGGGGGGTGCTTTCACTCATCACTTTTGTATCTTTGTGGAGTCTGAATAATCAGTCATGATTTTCTGTCAATTTTTGGAATCGATGCCATGCATTGTGTATTTCTCTATATATGTTACTAAATAAGGACGCTCTTGCTTGCTGCAACCAGTCGATTGTTACTTCCACCTTTTTTTCTTGAGTGGTATATCTTTGTTTAAAGGAGTCACTGCAGTGGGAAATCAGATACTTCATGCGTTTTTAGTTGCTGATTTTTTTTTGAGACTCACCTATTATCGCCGTTTTTTAGCAGAAACAAAGTTTTTAGTTGCTGATTTTTTTTTTAAACTTACCATTTATCGCCATTTTTAGCAGAAACAAATAGAGTTGTCTTGAAACTTACCATTCATCACCATTTTTAGCAGAAACGAATATAGTTTAGTGTCCTCTGGTTCCCTACCCAGGCACATAGAAACTGCCAAAGAATCTCTCTCTCTCTCTCTCTATCTCCCCCTGCCCCACCCTCCCCCTCTCTCTCAGCCAGAGGCTACTTTTTTTTAACCTCTGATGCATAGCCTCTGAGTTGGGGCAGGAGGCAGGGTGTGAAGGTGTCATTTCTTGAATCGCTGAGATTATTACTATTTTTTCTTTGCATCAAAGCCATAAAGAAATAGATATTGTACCATTTTGCGTCAAGCTATAAGAAATATATATTAATTATTCTTCTACATATTTGAATGGCTTCAAGTATCTGTCTCTTTTCAGTGCAATATCTGCAAAATTTTCTGAAAACGACCATTGTTTCCCTTAAAATATACCACATCCATTTACTTTTACGGGAATTTAACCAGTAAATGTCATACTTTTTCATAGATCATGGTCCTGAGTTGGGAAGTTCCGTGTTCCTCATTTGGGCAACTGACATCATACGCATTATATCGACCAGGTTATTTTCTAGGGTTGTAATCTTGCTATTACACAAACCATAGAGAAACTTAGATACATCTTGATTAAAGAATCTGCTGATTTGATTGCAAAGAATGTGATGATTAGCGTTTCTACAGCTACCATGGTTGCATAGATAGTTTATTGTACCACTTTCTACAGCTCTGTACGAATATGTTGTACTTTGCACTACTCTTTTAAGGAAAGATTACCTTGTATTTTTGAGAAGGATATAGTATGTGTTTGTGTCCATGTTGGAAAAACCGGGTGATCTAACCAGTAACCGTTCGGTTACATCGGAAACGGCCATTGGCATGGTTTCCGGCGGTTTTGGTGATCGACTGGTATTTAAAAGAAAATAATTTGAAAAATATATATATGAAGTCCCAAAAATAACGAATTTGGTTTGTAATATATTTTTTAATATTCATTACATAATGGTAAAAATTAGAAATTGTTTTGGTCATTAATGCTCACTTTTATATTTTCTCATTTTTTTCAAAAATTTTAAAAAATGCCCCTAGGCACCTTTAAAATCCATTTTTTGCATTAATTTATAACTTCATTTGAATGTATTTTGTTTTAATAATTTTTCATATGTTTTTCATATTTTAGTAGATTTTTTTGTTTCTTTTTTATTTTTTTCAACAAATTTTTGATCACCCGGGACTTGTTTGGTTGGAGTGGTTGAATCGGCTGCTTTACCGGTTAGGCCGGTTAAATCGCTTCCAACCCCATGTCCGATTAACCGTTCCGATTCGATTTTGCAAAAAATGGTTTGTGTGCATATGTCATCGTTCCTCCTATCCCATTAGCCACAAGCAATCCCCTTCGATTTTGCAAAAAATGGTTTGTGTGCATATGTCATCGTTCCTCCTATCCCATTAGCCACAAGCAATCCCCTGATAAACAATGAGTGTGTGTGCGTGTGTTGGCAATGGGTTGGGCAGCTTGGTTCAAAAAAAAGTAGGGCATGGGCCACAAACTGCAGCCCAAGGGCTGGGTTATGGCCACTTTCGGCCTGGTTGGGCCCGGCTCGGCCCTCTTTTTATTTCTTGTTTTTATTTTTTGTTCTCCATTTATTTTTAGCCTACCCCTATAGGGATAAGGATCAGGCCAAGGCCCGGCTCGTTGCCACCATCATCACTGGCTCCCCGGCCCCAAAAGTCCAGTAAGTCGGCCGCCCTCCTTTCCAAACTACTAAAATGTATTGGAAATCACCGTCACGTTCCAAAGCAACAAGACAAACATCATAGCGGCCTCCCCCATCTAGTTTCAGAGAGGGAGAGAGAGAGATATATGGATGATCAGCACGAGCCCCTTATGGATCATGAGAACCAAGGGAATTTTATTGGCTTCCTTGAATTTGAGGAGGACATAGAACCCATAAGGAGCTTCGGTGATTTCAGCAGAGAATTCTATATCGAATCCAAGAAGTTATGGTGTTTGGCTGCTCCTGCCGTATTTACATCGATAGCTCAATACTCACTCGGTTCCATCACCCAGTCATTTGTTGGCCATGTTGGTACGCTCGAGCTTGCTGCTGTCTCCGTGGAGGGTTCTGTCATCGCTGGCTTGTCCTTTGGTCTTCTGGTATAAACCTCACTGTGTGCGCTCGTGCACAGGCATGTGTGTGTGTGTGAGACATCTATGTTATGCACATAGGCCCGGTATAAAATGGATTGTATGCTAGAAGGCCTTATTATTCATGGGACTGCAAACTAAGATCGTTAATGTGTTAGATGTGAATTCCATGGCTCGAGGTGTGGCACAAATCTCAAAATGCCTAGTCAATGAATAACAAAAAAACCGCCCCCCCTCCCCCCCAATTTTGATTTTGACCTCCTTGTAATGCTTTTCCATTATAAAAGGGTTGTTCAGCGGAAAATAAATATTTCTTCTGAAAAAGGGATCTCTTGCAAAATTCAAGCATCTTGCAAAATCTTTACCAAGTCGAGCCAAAGATTTATGCCAAAAGCTAAAACCTCAAACATACTACATTCTACAAATTTTAGTGTATGAGAATGTCTGGAGTGTTATTACTGTCCTTCAATTTAAAAAAACTGGATATTACCAACTGCACTCACTTTACGAGGAAATCTACTGTACTGTAATATGCTGTTTCTCTAGAGATTATTTGTATTCTTGATGAAAATAAATAACACGGAAGCACTAAAATTATCAGAAGTCCATGGTTTTAAAAACCATACTTTTCTCACCCATTAAAACTCGAAGCCAAACTGTTTCTTGATATCTTGCCCTGGTTGCTATGAACTCGATATTTGACCTCACTAGCCACACTGCTATTGCTATTGCTGCTGCTGATTGAAGCTTAGGCATCCAACTTATGAGCCTATCTGTGATGCTAAGTGCACATGTCATGATATCAACATTAAAAAAATCAATTTTAATGGACTTTAAATTGGCATCCATGAATCAATTCAAACTAAAATGGGCATAATGGAAAATAGCCACCCTACCAAAAACATGTAACAGATGAAATTATCTAAAAAGTCAAAATGTACTACTTCATCTCTGTTAAATTCAGGTATCTTTTTCCTTAGTAAGAGCCCCTACTTTCCAACAAACCAAAATTGACCTCCACTAAACCTTTCTTAGTTAGGCATGGGGAGTGCACTGGAGACACTATGTGGCCAAGCCTATGGAGCAGGGCGACTTGACATGATGGGCATATACATGCAAAGTGCATGGGTCATACTCATCACAACCGCCCTTGTCCTTTCCCTAATTTACATCTTTGCCACTCCATTCCTTGTTCTCATTGGACAAAACAACAATATAGCTCATGAAGCTGGAACCTTTGCTCTATACATGATCCCCCAACTCTTTGCATTTGCATTGAATTTTCCCCTGGTCAAGTTCTTACAAGCACAGAGCAAGATGATGGCCATGGGTATTATATCAGTGGCTGCTCTATTGTTGCACACATTATTTAGCTGGTTGTTCATAATGAAACTATGCTGGGGCTTAGTTGGAGCTGCTTTGGTGCTCAATGGCTCATGGTGGTTCATAGTGTTGGCTCAGTTGGCTTATATTTTTAGTGGGGTGTGTGGGAGGGCATGGAATGGATTTTCATGGAAGGCCTTTCAGAATGTCTGGGGCTTCGTTCGGCTCTCTCTCGCATCTGCTGTCATGTTATGGTAAGAGAGAGAGAGAGAGAGAGAGAGAGAGAGAGAGAGAGAGAGAGAGAGTAGTAAGTTATTACGTTACTTACGTTTACTTTACTTACTTACGTTAGTAGTTAGTTAGTTAGTTAGTTTACGTACGTTACGTTACGTT